AAAACACATATGGAAACAAGCTATGTACCATAATCACACCTTTTTTGCTTAAAAGTATAGAAACTTGATAATCTTTCATTAGCATATTCACATGCAACTCATTATTTTAACACTCTGTTATTCCACTGAACAGACACACTGCAGCTTATTTAATTAGATCCTTACTGATGGATGTTTAACATGTTCCAGTTTTTGCTGTAACAAACAATGCAGCAATGATTATCTTTACATGTACATCATTGTGTAGTCTGAGGGTATGTTTGTAAATAGACTCCTGTATGTAAAATTGCTGAGTTACAGGATAGGTGTGGTTGCAATATGTATGGACATGGTCAAACTGCCCTCTAATGGAGTCATGTCAACTTGCACTCCCACTAGGAGTGTGCCGGTACCTGCTTCTCCATCACTCTGGCAACACTGGGTCCTAGCAACATTTTTCATCCTTGCCACTCTGACAGGAGACTCTCACTGTTGTTTTACTGTCATTTCCCTAAGCAAGGGCTAGCCTCTTTGCCATATTTATTTGCTGTTTCTCTCTCCCTTTCTGTAAAGTGCCTGATCATCATCATTATTCACTTTTCTTTTGGGTTGTTAATCATTTTCTTATTCATAAGAGCTCTCATATATTAAATAAATATGTCCATTTTGGGTCAGATGTGTGGCAGATATCTTTCCCAACCCATCATTTGCCTTTGATTTTGCATATAGTATTTTGAGCTGTATAGAAATTTTCATTTTCTGTAAAAGGTGTAAAGGTAAAATGTAAATGGTAATGTATATCAATCTTTTATTTTATGATTCCAGGGTTTTCTATTTTATCTGGAAAAGACTTCAAGATCCATTTTTTAATGCTCTTTTTTTTTTTACAATTTTTGTAGTTTTTTTTTACACAGTTAATCTCTGTGTAGTTGTATAAGAAATGAAGAATCTATTTTTTTTTCCCCAAATGCCTAGCCACTTGTTCCAACTCTATTGAATAATCTAGCTTTCTCTCACTGGTCTGAAATTCCATCTTAGTCATTTTGCACTTGTGCTTGGGTTTTAGGAGCTGACATTTCCATTTGGGTCTTAAATTTGAGTTTGTTGGGGGTCTGCTTCTGTATTCTCTTCTGTCTAATATTCTGTCTTTTCCATGTTGTTTTGATTTCTATATGTATAATTCATTTTAATTGCTTATTCAGCTAATCTTCTCTAATTACTGTCCTTCTTTACAATTTTCCTGGAAATTCTTACATGGTTATGCTTCACTGGAAACACAGAATAGGTAATCTAGTTCTCCAACTCCCAGAAAATCATACTGCATTTTTATTTGGATTACATTAAACTACATTAAATTAACAGATTAATTTCAGGAAATTGTTATCTTTATGTAAGATGTATCTTTCCATTTATGTGAATGATTTTTATGTCATTTAGAATAATTTTAAAGTTTAAAAAATTTAAGCCCTGTATATTTTTTGTTAAATTTATTTATTTCTTCCATTTGCTGTTGTCGGTATTAAGATGGAATCTTTCCTCCTATTAATTTTTCTAATTGGTTATGTTGCATATAGGAAAATTAGTACTATTTTTGTTAACTTTGAAGGCTGGATTCTCTTATTATTTTTAATAGTTTCTCTGATTATCTTGGATCCACTTATTAGCTGCTGACATCTTTTGGAGATGAACTGCTCAAGATATGCTTTTCTTTTTGATCAATGACTTTACTGTGTCTAATAGACTCTGTAGTTGTCTGTGGGAGAAAAGGAACTAAATGTGATGGGTGCCTGTGTGAAACTCCCAATCAAAAGAGAATTAGAACAGAGTGTGGACTCTGTGGACATCACAGTCATGAAGAGAAGCACCTTATTTGCTTCATGTGAGGGGTAGTCAGTGCCAGGATGTTATAACATTGGCATGAGGCTATAACATTGAATGATTGCCACACAATCATTCAAAGAGTCTCCTTCTCTGCTCTGCTATTTTAAAAGCAATCAGTGGACCTTGTTTTGGTATAAACCATTAATAGGATAGATACTGAAAATGTTAAGCAGTAAACATCTCACACTCTCACTGGAGAAACAAGGTAATTCATTTTAAGAGAAATAATAATGATAAAGTTGAAACTGAAAAAACAATGTTGCCCCAGCATATGTGAGAGAGCACACTACCAGAAACATGGTCCTCATTTGATTTGTTCTCTCAGTGCTTCTAACCTCTGGTCTTTAAAGTGTTGGGAGATGAGTTCTATGGATATTAATCTGAGGGCCAGAGAATGGTTCCAGAACCTCAGCATGTGGAGCTAAGCATGGAAAGGTGTCAAGAGCAAACGAAACACGCAGCCCTCCGATTGCTGGTGGTAAGCCAGAAGATTCTCTATCTGATCACAGCATAGTTGAGAGGATAATAGATGGAGAAGATGGGTGATTACCGTCTGAAAGGAAATGAACATTTCAGACCACAGCCAAACACTGTGTTTTACGGTGGCAGATTTATATGTCATTGCCAAAAGCTTCTACCCAAAGTCAAGAAGTATACATTGCATTGGCTGTGATCCCCAGGCTTGTGGTATAAACTCTGATAGGACCCTACTCACTGGGCAAAAAGTCAAAATAAACGCAGTGGTGCTCAAAAGAAAAGAGTGGGGAAGTTGGTGGCCAGGTGTGGCGAAGATAGAGGCATGGATGTGGGTGTGGACATAGCAACTCCGTGACTGGGGACTCCATGGGTCCCAGGCTCCAGAGATTATCTCAGTCTAATCATGACTAGTATAATCAGATGGGCTAAATCTTCTGGTTCTAACTCTCGTCCCACACAGAGAGAAGGCTGAGTCAGAGTTGAAAACCTCGCCACGTGAAGAACCATATATCACCCTCATTGATATAGCCCCATGGGGTTGACGAAGACTAGTGGTTTGAATTTACCGGGAGACAGTGGCACAGCTCAAAATAGAGAAGACTCCTCTGCTCAAGTGAGGAGGGAGGGAGGGAGCTCTCTGTCCCAAGACGTGACCAGGGGCATACATTCCACGGGGTGTTGTAGAGGAATCTCAAGCACCAAAGTGTGTCTGAACACTCCAGCCTTTAGGAAATCTTTCAGCCCTGAGAAACTGTGATATATATATAAAATCACAAGATATACATGTATCTTAGATGTGATTATTTATCTTGCTTCTTACAATAATAGTTATTACTAATATTACTGCTACTACACTTATATTTTGGAATATTTATTATACACCAGGCACTGTTTTGAGCTCTTAATATGCACTGTCTCCATGAGGTAGTTATTGTTACTTCCCATTTTATTGATAAGGAAACTGAATCTAAGGGAGGTTGAGAATGTCTCCTATGTTGGTCACACAGATAGCAAGTGGCAGGGCTGGGATTCAAACCCCATCCTTCTGAGTAACAAACTGCTGAGCAATACTTAGTTGCCACTGCTTCTTCTATGGCTGCTTCTTTTTTAATACTACAACTTATAAAGCCGGTAGCAATTTTCCAATCTCAAGAAGTTGCTAACTGGCACAAAAAGGAAAGTTTTATCCTTTCTAATTAGTATTTATTGGTTTGTTTGCTTGCTTGCTCTAAAGAATATTAAATTAGAATCAGACTGTGAGAGAGACAAAGTGATCTTGAGGGATCATAGATTATCAAGCTTAAAAAATAAACTAGAATGTTGTAAGATCCTCAGCCATAATGAAATCTGAGAGGACATATAAGAATCAGGACCACCAACAATTTAACATTTAGACTGAAAATCATAATTATCAAAGAGAAAAACTGATTTGGTGTTCCATTCATTCCTTTTTCCAATTCACCGAACATTTATGAATTTAAAACTACGTTAGTACGCAACGGAATATATGCTGAATACATTTCAAATAAAACACCAATATCCAATCAGAGATGTTGATGCAGCTTGCTCTCTGCTTCCTCACAAAGCATCCTGTTTTTTTCCTAAAATGACATCTTGTTTTTTCTTGATATGATTAAAACAGCTAGTTTAACCAGCTGGTTGCCATTTTCAAATAAACAGAAGCATTTTTTGTGCCAATTGCCCTTTTTGCCATTGAAACAAACTACTAGGCTGTTAGGGATCTGGGAATGGTACAGGAGGAAGGACAGGAAGGCAAAGTTGCTAGAAGAAGGGAGGAGGGGATGGAAGAGGAAAGAGCCACTGAATTAAGAGTTGCTGAACATGGACCAAACTGAGGGGAAGGGTGAAGAGGGATAAGACGGCAAGGCATGGCAGACAGGGAGGAAGTATTGCTTTAGGAGGCACGGCTAGGATTTAGAAACACTGACTAGGGCCTTGGGCTGCTGGTAGAATTGCATCTTAGCATCACCCAAGGCCTCTGCCCAAGCCAGGGGTTAGGGCCTAATCTGGAAAATGTGAGACGGGATGCAGCCCACCCAGGATGGTAACCATTCCAGATAGGTGCTGTTAAAACTGCATCTTTCACAGATACCTGGGGGTGTCATTAAAGAGAGAAAATTCAAAGTAAAACTGCTGTTCAGGAAAGATGAGTAAGGTGAAGCACAGTGTGGACCTTCTTGCCTCAGATGCTGGGCCCAGGGTGGCTATGCAGGTGGCCTCCCAGGATGGGACTGTATGTGATCCTCGCACTGTGAGATAATGGGCTCCCCGGAAACACATAATGCCTTCTAAATTCCTCTCAAAGACAGTCCTGCCTTCTACTCGCTAGACTCACGGGGCTCACAGCTCTCTCTGGCTACCCCATGTCCGGGCAGGCAGTTCTGCCTTCCATCCAGCCTCTGGCTTCCCATACTCAACCCATTTACCCCTCATGCCCTCTCCAGGGTCAAAAAGAAGGGCTTATTTCTCTTTCAGCCTCTGGCCCATCCCTACTACAGAATCGTCTCAATATACCCATAGAAGTGCCTCCCCTCTCCCCTCCGATTTCCACAGGCAGACCCAGAGCCAAGGCACAAGGGTCCATGGGTGGCAGGGAGCAAAGCCTAAGGCTCAGTAGGATGAAGAAAGGTCTGAACACTCACCAAGTGCAGGGTGTCAGCTTTCTGTGTCTGCCGCTGTCGGCTCTTCTGGGCAGCAATGCGATTTTTCTCCCTTCTTTGAACTTTTCTCACATCATCAGAGGAGTCCTGGGAAACAGAGATGGTGGGAATTAGGCAAGTCTGCTCCTTCTTCAGAGTTAAAGCAGGCTCTCATGTCGCTTGGCATCCATCCATCCATCCTTCCTTTTCTTCATCTTTTCATTTGCCCATCCACCCCCTACTCACCAAAACACTGAGCCCAAGAGAACTCGTCCCCACACTCTGTTATGCTCCCTTAAGTCTCTAGGATTTTTTTGGCCCAAAGTTACAGGAAGAGGGCAGAGATCATGAGGCCTCAGTAAGGCTGTATCTGGAAAAAAATGGTTAAAGCTATGAAGTGTGTTTTATCACCTCTCCTCCTTTTCAGGGCTATTCCACTTTTGCTTTTTCACTTTTTGGCCTAGAACCTTCTTGCTGTATTTTTTCAAAGCTTTGTTGAGCATCTACTATGTGTCAGCTTCTGTGCAAGTGCTTTCCAGAGGTGTTCTTGCTTAATTCCCCAGTGCTGTGAAGTTGATATTATTTCCATCTTATATGTAAGGAAACTGAGGCTCAAAGAGCTTGTCCAAGAGCTCACAGTAATCTGGGAGTTTCATCTTCCTAGGCTGAGTTTAATGCCTTTCCAAGCCACCCACCACCACCACCACCACCACCACCTCACTGGTTTGCACCCCATGTGTCTTCTGTTGTATCCCTGCACTGAGGTTCCCATTCCAGACCTGCCTCTTGTTTCCCTGCACCCCTTTCATTATGCCAGGTGACCTTGACATTCCCCATGGCCCTGAGCACAATGCCTAGCATAAATGAGAGGCCAAGAATGGCTTTAATGGTAGAGATTATCTGGCCCTGGAAGGTAGTGAATGGGTGCTTAGGAGGACAAGGGGACCTTTGGGTGTTCTCCAAGTACATCCTACAGGTAGGCATGTCCTGGACTTGGGCAGAGAGGTTAGCTCCGGATTTCCCCCCAGATGCTGCAGGATAAGAGATCAGCAGCCTGAGTGAAACCTGTCTGCAGCTCCTGCCCTGTGCCCTCTCACATGTGCCTACAGGCTAGAAGGTTCTTACGGCAAGACTCTGCGCTTACCAAGCATATGTCTCACCATTGTGCCCAATCTTCTGGGCCATTGCAGTAGAAGGGCATTGGGTTAGATAGGAAGGAAGTGTTTCTCCTCTAAACAGGATGGAGAGCCAGTTACCGTGGAAGCCATGAGTAATTTCCTGAGAAGAGTACAGACTTCCATCCAGCCCATCTGAGCCACCCGGATACCATCTTGAGAAGATGACTGGATTGTTTGCCCTCTAGAGGTCTCCACTAAGATTCTTCCAACCTGCTGTTCTGTTAAATATTTATGTCAGATGCTGTATTGAAAGTTTATATTCTTTTTTTTAATTTTGGCTGCATCATTTTGAAAGCCCTCTGGCCATCTGTGCTAAGGAAAGAGTGCAGTTTTTAAATCACAAAGTTGGAGAAGAAATTTTAATCCATTGATGTATTGGGTGAGAAAGAAGAAGCCTTTCTATAGAGAGGGATGTCAAGGTAAGTGGTGAAAAGAAAGCTCCAGAAGCTGTGAAGCAGGCAGTTGGCCCTTTTCTTGGCAATCCTCAAGCTGAAAACGTTTGACTTAGAAGTCACAACCTAGACTCCAACCCTCCAAGAATCCCTACCTCAATCTCCCTGGTTTCCCCAGAGCTGAGCTGAGCTACTGGTGAATGTGTCTAACAAGCCCCCAAAGCCAGCTCCTGATTTATTTCCTTCCTCCTGTCCAGAAGCCGCAGGTGAATAGGATACTGGTTCTGACTTCAGCATCCCTTCCCTCTAGCCGTGTTAGCCACAGGAGCAGTGTCCTAGCAGATAAGACAGATTCTTCCGGGCTGGCCCGGGTTCCTCCTCCTAATTGGATTTTTTTTCTTTACTTTTCCGGATCCCTTTCCTGTCTTGCCCCGATGGTTGTCTGCTGTTCATGCTAACAGCCCACTTTAATGTTCCTCCTTCCACATTTCTACTACCTTGGAAAAAGGCACTCCCTCTCCTCTTTGAGACCAGGGCTCTGCGATGCGCGTTCTCCCCTCTTGGCTTCCTAGAAAGCTTCACGGGGTGGGAACCCAGGTGAGCGGAGGCAGTGGGCACCCATGGGAATGGAGAGGAAGAGGGGCTTTGGCAGAATGGGTGGAAGGCTGAGGGGTCTCTGCCGATACGCACAGCTTATTGCAAAGACCGTGTCTGAGTCTGAGTGCTCCTGCCACCAGCCACTTCCTTGCTCCTCGGCTCCTGGGCAGGACGAGGAAGCCGGGCCCTCTTGCTGCTCCCCAGGAGAACCAGAAGGTAGGGTGGAGGGAAAGGAGGACTCTACCTGTTTGCCAGAGGGAGGAGAGCGGCTGAAGCTGGAGTCGCTGCTGTCGGAGCTGTGAGGCATGGCTGCAATCTTCCGGACTCTCCACACAGCCCCAGGCGCCCCTCGGCTCTCTCGTCACCAGCTGGCCTCCCTTCCTGACTGCTCCCAGGACACGAGCCCACCCCGCTCCCCAGGTCCCTCCTCGGCCTGCCCTGCAGCCACCTCTGACCCCTGTGTCCTCCTCACTCTGGGGTGCAGAGGCACTGCTCCCCACAGGGACATGTCGCTTGCTTTGGGGCTCGCGCTCTCTCTCTCTCTTGTGGTTTCTGGTAACTCACGCTGGAAGTCACATGGGCGGAAACTTAAATAAGCTAGAAGTTAATTTGAAAGAAAATACATATCTGGGAAAAGACCCACAGAATTATATGAAAGAAAGAAAAAAAATACACAAAACCCCAGATACCTTCCGACAGTTTGAAAGGCAGAGCAGCTCTCTTCAATTGATGAAGATAAAAGAGAAAAACAGCTCAGGCAGGGAAAAACCCCAGCCAGAATTAGCAAGTCGATCTTCTGTCAACATGGGCAGAAAAGAGAGGAGAGCAGGGAAAGAGTTTCCACTGTCACCCAACTTGATTTTTAAACCATAATAAAGCCCTGAGACCGGGATTTCTTTCTGGTTTTCACCCGAAGACAGCCGCCCACCCTGTCTCCTGGGGGGGCCTTCCTCACTCCTTGCAGCCATGCCACCCTTGTGCCAGGCTGGGATGAAGTGGGCGAAGGGCACGGTCCTTCCCTATTAGCAACCAGAAGAGGCTGTGGTCGGTCTGAAACCACCCGGGAGGCTGTGGAACTGATGCTCTAGAAGTTTGCTCCTCACCTATGCCTTTTGGCAGGGTGCTGTTTTAGAGAAAGGAGGCCTCACATGGTGAGGGTCTTTCAGGAGCTGGAGAAAGGCTTTGAATCTTCGTGATTTACGAAGGTCATCAGGTCAGAACTCAGACTGGAGGAATAGTAGGTAACAGTGGAATAAGCATCGTACCTGGAGTCAGACCAGCCTGGATTTGAATTCTGCCTCTTCCACTTGGTCCGTCTGTGGTCTTGGGGAGCTCCTTTAAGCTCTGCGCCCTCCACCTGTAATAGAGGGACAGTGATAAAATGTGCTCTGCCCACCTCTCAGGGCTGTTTCAAGAAGCAGATAATGGCACATGGATTTGATGCCTCCAGTACACTGTAAAAGGTACTGTTACTTGTAGTGTCATTAGACTTGCCATGAGCACATTTGTAGAATTCTCAGTGAGCAATCCAACACTCACCTGGACATTCTAGCTTTCAAAAGCAGCTTTGCCTTATTCCGCCTATGGCTCATAGCCAAATGCTTACCTTGCTTAGCTTTACGATTGACAGGAAATATGGCCCCCAAAAGATTTTATATCTACTGGCTGAATTGCTGCCCTAACATAATACATTGTCTTAAGGGGAAATTGAGCAAAAACAAAATTCATTCTCTCATGAAAGTTATATTTGAGTGGGGAAGGCAGACAGTAAACAAAGAAGTTAATATATAATACATCAGATGGTGACAAGTGTTATGGAGAAAAATAAAGCAGGTAGGGGTTAGGGAATTCTGGGAGTCCATGAGTTGCTATTTCCACAGAGTGGTCAGGAATTGTTTACTGAAAGGGGGACATCTGAGCAGAGACTGAAGAAAGGAGGGAATGAATGGTGTGGGTGTTTAGGGGAAGAACATTCTAGCAAGGACCTGAGGTGGAAGTGTGTTTGGAGTGAAAGAGGGACAGCAGGGAGGCCAGGGTCGCTGGAGCAGAGAGGCAGTGAGTGGCAGGAGATGAAGTCAGCAAGGTATCAGGGGGCGAGGCCACTGGAGGTTTCAGAGCAGAGGAGTGACAAGCTATTATTTAGGTTTTAACAGGATCTTTCCAGTAGCAGCTGAGATTTTACTGTAGGGGAGCAAAACGAAAGCAAGGAGACCAGCTGGGGTTAGGGCATTGGATTATTGCAATGATCCAAGTAAAAGGTGGTGGTGGTACGTGCCACTGAGGCAGTGATGAAGACGTGGGAAGTGGGACACGTAGAAACCAATGACATGTCTGTCTTGTTTCCAGTTATATACCCCATGCCTAGTAGATGTCTACCAGAGGGCAAAGGAATAAATGGATGAATGAATTCTCATAGAACTTATGGCATTTATTATGACCTGCATTGTCCTATATCTTTTCTTATCCTTAGCATACTGAAAGCTCCATAAGGATTAAAAAGTCATATTTATGTTTTATTCAGTTTATCATTTATTAAAACCTATTATGTAGCAGAAACCACAAATATGAATAAGGCAGAGACCCTGTCCTTCTAGAAATAAGAAGTAGTCAAATAACCAAACAGGATATTTTAAGTGTTATAATTTCAGATGAAGCTCTTTGCTCTTTGAACATTCCACATTCAACAGTAAATGCTTGTTGAATGAATGATTGCTTCATTCCACGGTTCCAAATCAATCTACTAATTTAAATTTAACAACAGCTAATGAATAGAGAATGAAAAATAAGCTTTTACATAGAAAGATGGTCTTTAAATAGTATTGATTATAAATTATTTTTAAATATTTAAGATTAAAGAATAATAAACCCTTGTGTATCCACCATTAAACTTAATAAATAAATTAGGATAGAGCTGAGGGCCCTTGCTAATCCTATTCCTTCCCCAAAAGATAACCACTTTCTGGAATGTGGTCTTTTTCATTCTTCTGCTTTCTCTATATTTGAACCATATCTATATTTACTTAGTGTTACCATGCATGCTTTTAAACTTTTTATACTGCCAATATGTTTACACTTAATTTTCTTATTTCATGGCAAGGCTTGGTTACAGGCATCCCACTGAGGTTTGTCTGATGAACTTCACAAAGCCATCAAGTAACAGTTGAGCATCAGCTCAGTTAACATCAACCCAAAAGCCTAAGGATAATGCTAAGGTAGCATTTGCTAGATACTTAAATCCTTTATGATAACAGCTAACAGACCAGGACAGTTGTTGGCTCATGCATGGCCCTGGCACAAATTAGAAAACAGTGCCACCTCTTGGTAGGCAATCCCAAGCCAAAGGGCATGAACTGGTGAGCCCCTGTTTTATTTCTAAGGTAAGGGGTCTTGAACAGTGAACAATTCATACAACAGTACCCAGCATCCTTGCTCTATATCACATACTATATGCCAGGCACATAAATCGACTCACCTCATTCTCACAACAGCCATAGCAGGTAAGTAAGTACTATTCCCCCCAACTGCCCCATTTATACATGTGGAATACTGAAACACAGAGAGGTTAACAACTTTTTCAAGGACATACATGGCTGCTGGCTTCCCCAGAGCAATCAACCTGAGAGAGAGAGCCCGAGAGAGGATGACAGCACAGTACCTTTTATGACCTGGTCTCAATCCCTTCTGCTTTATTTTATTCAGGAGGAGCAAGGCTCTAAGTCCAGCCCACATTCCACGGGAGGTGAATGAGTATCCGCCTCTGAAAGACAGGAGCATTAAAGAATCTGTGGACATTTCTTAAAACCACCACACTTCCCAAACTGATTCCTGAAAGGACATTTAGCTGGATGAAAACCACCCAGTGAGATCAGGAGAGAACCAAGAGGCAGCACTCTGCTTCAAGCTCTGCCTCCAACTCACTCTGTGACCTCAGGAAGGTCCCTTTCCTCTCCAGGCCTCTGCCCCAGGTGTAAATCTGGCAGAAGGGGATGGTAGAGAGAAGAGGGGAGTGCTAGAGTCTACCTTATGAATCTAAGTTTGGCAAAGAAAAAACAAACCTACCTCATTATTTCATGGTTGTATTTTCTGTGGTTGAGAGCAATAGACTCATAGCCAGACTGGCCCAGAAGCCCAGTGCTCCACTTGGTAGCTAGTGACACATTTATGAAATGAAAGAATATAATATAATATTACCAATCTCATTGGGTTGTTATAAGGATGAAATGAGTTCAAGTATGTAAAGTTCTTCAGACAGTGTCACAATCTGAGCTTTTGTAAAAAACAAACAAAAACCCAACTTGTATTGCTCTAATTAAATGACAAGCAGAGAGCCTTGGAATAATCTGCTTTTACGAGTAGATTGGAATGGTTTAGAATCAGGGCTGACATACTTGACAACTGTCTAGCATGGGCACCTGCCAGTCAGAACAGAGCCTGGCCCTTTGCTGTATTGGGCAAATGACCTTTGAGTTGCTGGACCATAGGAGGTGGGAGAGAAGGCAATCCTGAGGGAAGTAAAGAGACAGGTGGGGACAGGGAGAACCCCAAGAATTTAGGGCAACAGCTATTTGACCATCTATATTTCAGTGTCTTAATATCTGTTATCACAATACCAGTGCCTATTGGACCGGCCTTGTTTAAAATTGACAATTGTAGGTAAATGGGCATAAGGTAATTGAAAATAAGTGGTGTCTCTTAGAGTGCCACAAACCTGCTATGTTCACCCCTGTGATGTTGCTGTTCCCAGTGTCAAGGCAAATATATACTTCTGTCCAATGCCTGCTGACTCAGCTCATTTCCAAGACTTTGAGCTCAAACTGACCTGTGTTTTACAAGATCAGGAATGCTCCCACCAAATCATTAAGGAAATGGATTGAAACAAAGAAACCAAGTAGAGCAGAAACCTCTTGAATGTCTGTGTGTGTCCCCCAGGGTGGAGGCAGGGAGCTACAGAACTGGGTACTTTTCCTCAGGAGAGTCATTTCAAAAGTCAAGCATCCCTCCCAGGAAACAGGTGCAAAATCTCCCAAGGGCAAAAGAAGGAAAAAAATACACACTTGGGACTCACCCTGATGTTCTAATTTAACTGATCTGAGCATGGTGTTAAAAAGAAAGATACAGACCCAACATGGGGTCACTTCTGCTAGGCCACGTCATCTAGCAGTGACTTAATACCCCTTAGTGGCTTAATACCCCTAACTGCAATTTCAACCTGCCCTAGAAATGTAGTCAGTCAGGAATTTTCCAGTCAACATCTATAAGATAATGCATATGTGATCTCTCCTTCTCCCAAAGGAATTCACCTAATAAGACCCCTCTGTCCCCAGATGAAGGTGACCTCACTAGAAATAATCTTTTCTTTCTGTTTGACTTCCTCCTCCTGCCTTTAAAAACCTCTCCCTTTCTGTTGCACTTTGGAGCATCTCTCTGCTTGCTAAAGGGGATGCTGCCTGCTTCATGAGCCATTTAATAAAGCCAATTAGATTTTTGAACTTAGTTGGATGAATTTTGTTTTTTAACAACGGGTATTTTTTAAAAGCCCCCAGGGTAGTTC